TATATATATATATATATATATATATATAGGTATATGTAGAAGTAAAAAATATGACAAAACAAAAGAAGCACAGGAGAGGAGAAATGGAAGTATATATTTGAGAGATTCTTCTATTATATTTCAGGTAATATAACATCACTTGAAAATAGATTATAGCAAATTAAAAACACATTAAATCCTAGACTAATAAGTAAAATAATAGATACAGCTAAGAAGTCAATAATGGAAATAAAATGGAATCCTAAAGTAAGATGAATACAAAAAGATGTAGGAAAAGACGAAGAAAGGAACAAAGAACAACTGTAACAAGTAGAAAACAAATAGCAAGAGAGTAGATTTAAATCTGACCCTATAAATAATTACATTAAGTGTAAATGATTTAAAATTCCAATTAAAAGATGAGACTGTCAAATTAGATTAAATAGCAAAACCCAACTATGTACTGCTAACAAGAAATCCACTCCAGGGGTGTCGAGGTGGCTCAGTCGGGTAAGTGTCTGACTCTTGATTTCAGCTCAGGTCATAATCTCATGGTCATGGGATTAAGTCCCACACTGGAGCCTGCTTGGGATTCTCTCTCTCTCCCTCTCTCTCTGCCCCTCCCCAGCTCATGCACGTTCTTGCTGTCTCTCTTAAAATAAATAATAAACATTAAAAAAAAAAAAAGTCCACATTACAGGATGACTTAAAACTGAAAAAAATGTTAAAATATACCAAGCAAGAGTGGCTATATTAATTACAAACAGAATAGGCAACATTTCATAATAACAAAGATGTCAATTCATCAAGAAAACATAAAATCTTAAATGTGTACATACTGAATAAGAGCTTTAAAATAAAGACAGCAAAAAATGACTGAAAGAAACAGACAAATCCATAATTATACTTAGAGACTTCAAGGATCCTCTTTCAGAAATAAATGGACATAGACTGAGCAGACAAAAAAAAAAATCAGTAAGGATATAGAAGACATAAACAACACTATCAAACAACATGACCGACTCATAATATCCTACTTGACAAGAGCAGAATGCATTTTGTTTTCATGTGTACATGGAACATTAATTAAGACTAACTATACTCTTGGGGCTCCTGGGTGGCTTTGTCAGTTGGGCGGCCAACTACAGCTCAGGTCACGATCTCGCGGTCTGTGAGTTCGAGCCCCGCGTCGGGCTCTGTGCTGAGCACTCAGTCTGGAGCCTGCTTCTGATTCTGTGTCTCCCTCTCTCTGCCCCTTCCCTGCTCTCTCTCTCTCTCTCTCTCTCAAAAATAATTTAAAAATTTTTAAAAAATAAAAAAAAGACTAACTATATTCTTGGCCATAAAACAAATCTCAACATATGTAAAACTACTGAAATATAAAATACATTATTTGACCACAATGAAATTAAACTAGAAATCAGTAGTAGGTAAATATCTTTTTAAAAAAATGCAAAACATATTTGAACTTCTCAAATATGTATTAAATACTTCTCAATAACCCAAGGGCTAAAATAAATAAGTCACAGAAATTTTTAAATACTTTGAGG